TATGTTCCTCCCAAAATCAAATCAGTCATTCCTCACGTTTTCATGTCTTTACAAACTCAGACCGAGAGGTTCGGTAAAAACACTTAGAAAAATTTCGAGTGAAAATTTTGGAATGCATGAAGTCCGTGGCCCGGCCTGGCCGGGACGATTCTATGCATGCATCGGCCGTGGAAACAGAGAAAACGGGGAAATTTGAGAATGAGTTGAAGAATACAAAAGAGCTAAAAATAAGAAAGGGGATGCAAGACCGGTGGAGTCGAACTCGGGTTGCGTGACTAAGGAACGTAGTAATAAACCACAAACCTACGTAGATGCTCAAACTTAAGAGTTACACAAAGCAATCCGTGGACATAAAAATAGTCGAGTATATGGAGATCCGATCACATGGGCATGAAACTATAGAAATATATAAGAACACTGATGTGTTCAAATCCCCAATTCATGAGAGAATGGTACATGAAATCGCCACTTAAAACATAAAAATGGCCAAAAACACACAAATAAAAATCCGAATGGCAAAAAGAGGCCGACGGCCGCTGCGCAGCCGCCCACCCTAGGCCTCGAAAAATCGAGCGGATCAAAAAAAAAAAATCCAGAAACGGATAACTCTAGCAAAAGTTAACGCCTTTTGAAATTCGGCAGATCCCATTCACTATCCTATTTCAGGACGTGGGGAGGAAGGGAGGAAGGAAGGATGAAGAACAAGCTTTCCTTAAGTGGCTTTTAAAAAATTACAACTCATAAACACACTTTTGGACATATTACGATTTATGCCTTTCCTTAATGGGCTGGTCTTGGGATGGGTCGTACAGCGGGATGGGAAGGGTTGCGATCGTGGGATCGGTGGTGCACCACCGTCCGTTGACTGGCGGGCATGGTTCTCTCGGCGGAGAAAAACTAAGGGACCGTTCGGATTTGAAAAATGGTCGATCATTTGTCGAGTTTCCACATTCAAACCTGCCAAAATCGTGATTGGAAGGTTTCCAGAGTGGCCAGAACTGAAAAGATCGAGAAAAAAATATTTGGTCGACCGTACGGTCGGAACCGTCGGCCATCGGACGGACTGGCGTGCATGATTTCTCGGCCAAAACGCATTTCACCGGTCGGATTCGATTTTCGGTCGGTCGTTTCCCGATTTTCCACGCCCGAGCCTCGTAATATCGTGGTTACAAGGTTGTCAGAGTGGGTGGAAATGAAAAAATCGAAAAAACAATTTTGGTCGACCGTACGGTCGGAATCGTCGGCCATCGGACGGGCTGGCGCGCATTTTCGTCGGCCAGAACACTTGTCACCGTACTGATTCGATTTTTCTCCGGCCGTTTTCAGATTTTCCACGATAAAAACTCTCAAAATCGTGGTTAGAAGGTTTTCAGAGTGGGAGAAAATGAAAAGATCGAGAAAAAAATATTTGGTCGACCGTACGGTCGGAACCGTCGGCCATCGGACGGACTGGCGCGCATTTTCGTCGGCCATCTGACGGACTGGCGCGCATTTTCGTCGGCCATCGGACGGACTGGCGCGCATTTTCGTCGGCCAGAACTCATGTAACCGTACTGATTCGATTTTTCTCGGTCCGTTTTCAGATTTTCCACGATAAAAACTCTTAAAATCGTGGTTAGAAGGTTTTCAGAGTGGGAGAAAATGAAAAAAATCGAAAAACAAATTTTGATCGACCGTACGGTCGGAACCGTCGGCCATCGGACGGACTGGCGCGCATTTTCGTCGGCCAGAACACATGTCACCGTACTGATTCGATTTTTCTCCGTCCGTTTTCAGATTTTCCACGATAAAAACTCTTAAGATCGTGGTTAGAAGGTTTTCAGAGTGGGAGAAAATGAAAAAATCGAAAAAAAAATTATGATCGACCGTACGGTCAGAACCGTCGGCCATCGGACGGACTGACGCGCATTTTCGTCGGCCATCGGACGGACTGGCGCGCATTTTCGTCGGCCAGAACACATGTCACCGTACTGATTCGATTTTTCTCCGTCCGTTTTCAGATTTTCCACGATAAAAACTCTTAAAATCGTGGTTAGAAGGTTTTCAGAGTGGGAGAAAATGAAAAAAATCGAAAAAAAAAATTATGATCGACCGTACGGTCAGAACCGTCGGCCATCGGACGGACTGACGCGCATTTTCGTCGGCCATCGGACGGACTGGCGCGCATTTTCGTCGG